GTTTGATTATTTTACCCTGAACCTTTTTCATGTTTACTTCTTAATTCTGTTTCCTCGCTTCCTCCTCCTCGATTCCTCTCCTCGATCCTGCGTCAATCAAACGTGTCGTATTAAGTGGTGTCCCCCCCCCAAAAAAAAAAAAAAAAAAACAAAAAACACGGAGTAAACCCGGAGGCAGACATCAGATAAAATAATCCAACACTTTAATCATCTCCAACTCGCTGCGTCTCATCTCTGTGGGCGGGACTTCCTCACCCACTTCCTGCAGACTCGAGGAGAAGGAAGCGAGGAGAGAGAAATGAGACGCGGCCTGTCGAGATGAGGAAGAAGGGCGCGTCTCTGCAGAAACGAAACTTAAAAAATTGACAGGGGGAGGACGCGTAACAGAGCAGAGCGCAGGTAAGACCTCAAACCACCATGGAGAACTAACCCGGATACAGACTCGGTTAAAAATTGTAATGTATGAACGTTTAGATACAGTTGACATAAATAAATTAGATATTGCGCGTAATTTCTCGTGCACAAACTTGTTTACAGGCTCGTGCTCTGACCCAACCCTCCAGTATCTGAAGATATTTGGCTTTATATCAACAACTGCCGTTCTGTTGTCATTCCACCGTAGAAATAGTTGGTTTTATTTGTAATTTGGACAGTGTTGAGGAGTAACAGATTACATGTACCGGGATTACGTAATCAGAGTACAAATTATGAGTAACTGTATTCAGTTACAATTACTGTTTCAGTGAGTGGTAATTGGATTACAGTTACTTTGTTGAAATAAATGGATTTTCGGATAAATGTGCCGTAACATTTATTCGTTTTAATGTCAAATTATATACATACTTTGCTGCTGTCCCTGTTGCTAGATATAAAATAAATAAATTAATAAATAAAATACAAATAAATAAATAAATAAATAGATATAAACAAATAAATAAATAAAATAAAAAATAAATAAATAGATATAAACAAATAAACAACTAAAATAAATAAAACATAAATAAATAGATATAAATAAATAAATAAAAAAAATAATAAAAAATAAATAAATTAATAAAAATAAAATTAATAAAAAATAAAATAAATTAATAAAATAGATATAAACAAATAAATAAATAGATAACAAATAAAACAAATAAATAAATACAATAAAATAATAAAAATAAATTAGTAAAAATAAAATAAATAGATAGATATAAACAAATAAATAAAGTTTGATTATTTTACCCTGAACCTTTTTCATGTTTACTTCTTAATTCTCTTTCCTCGCTTCCTTCTCCTCGATTCCTCTCCTCGATCCTGCGTCAATCAAACGTGTCGTATTAAGTGGTGTCCCCCCCCAAAAAAAAAACACGGAGTAAACCCAGAGGCAGACATCAGATAAAATATCCAAAAAATTCAACTTTAATCATCTCCAACTCGCTGCGTCTCATCTCTGTGGGCGGGACTTCCTCACCCACTTCCTGCAGACTCGAGGAGAAGGAAGCGAGGAGAAGGAAGCGAGAAGAGAGAAATGAGACGCGGCCTGTCGAGATGAGGAAGAAGGGCACGTCTCTGCAGAAACAAAACTTAAAAAATTGACAGGGGGAGGACGCGTAACAGAGCAGAGCGCAGGTAAGACCTCAAACCACCATGGAGAACTAACCCGGATACAGACTCGGTTAAAAATTGTAATTAATGAACGTTTAGATACAGTTGACATAAATAAATTAGATATTGCGCGTAATTTCTCGTGCACAAACTTGTTTACAGGCTCGTACTTTGACCCAACCCTCCAGTATCTGAAGATATTGGCTTTATATCAACAACTGCCGTTCTGTTGTCATTCCAGCGTAGAAATAGTTGGTTTTATTCGTGATTTGGATAATTTTAGAGCAATTCAGATCAATAATATTTTTAATTTGGTTGAGGAAAGACTGGACTTTTTTATTGTCTTTTAACAGACAAAACTTCTTATGTTCAGATCTTCGTCTTTGCTACTTTACAGTAAACAAAAGTCTGTTCATAGAGACTTGGGCTCAGACAATTTGAAGAAAACAAACAAACAGAATGTAAAAAAATGTTTATACATCTTTGCAGATACGTCACTAACTTGATGGCTTCCTGTTTTCTTTTTTTTTCTCCTTTTTTTGGTCGGTCTTATGATTTATTCCATTTCACAATACTAATAATTTGTGTATGTAAATACATGATATGTGATATACATAACTAAAATGTCCTAATAAAAATAAAGTTAAAAAAATGTAAATAAAGGAGCTGTCTGTAGTATGTACTCTTAAGGGTTATTTATGATGCAGGTGCTAAATTACGAGTGCAAACTGTGTCCTACTGCAGTTCTGCAAGATGTAAATAATAGTTTAGCGTCTGAGCAAAAGGACTGCTAAATAAAACGTTTACCGTAGCCTACAGAGCTGCAGAAAATGCTCAGTCTCGGACACATATTTATCTATTAAAATCAAATTTGCGCAACTCTCACAGAAACTTAAAACCGCATGTCTAAACTAATAAACTAAGCAGAGAAAAGAAAAAAAAAACATGACTCAGTGGAATATGAGTGTTCTTTCTGTGACAGAGGGATGTTGATGCTGAAGTTGAGTCTGTTCTGTGTCTGTGTCGCGATGTTTTCAGAGATCAGACGTGTGCGGGTTTATCGCAGATGCGGCGAGAACGGGAATGAAAATTACAATTCTTTGCTGGAGCGAGCGGAGCAGGACTGCACAGTGCGGGACTGTGTCCTAACTAGGGATGGGCATTCGATGAAATTTTCTTAATCGATCGTCGAAAGAGTTAACGATCGATTATGGATTGATCATTAACGTTTTTATATTAATCAGCCCGTTTGACATTATAATGTGTTTAATTCAGTTTTGCGCAACTCTCACAGAAACAAAACTTAAAACCGCATCACTAATTTGCATAAACTAAGCGAAGATAAAACTACAGCTTTTGTGTCGCTGATGTGGTTAATTTCTGTTGGATTAAAAGACATGACTCAGGTGAATACAGGTTAGTGTGACCAGAATTTGCGTTTGTCAAAACCAGGACACCGTACGGGGGAGGGAGGTGGGGACTCGACATCGACATTGAGCGACTCTCACCTGGTAAAACTTTTCCCCACTGGACACAGAAACATATGTTCCTGCTTTATACACTGTGCACATGGACTCACACTTGTCCCGAACGCAAACGGAAAGCCTGGAATTTCTTGTACAAGTCATCGTTAAATGCGCATTTATGTTGCAGACTGACCGACTGTTTCTGTTTGTGTCTCGCTCCTTCTGATGCAGAGACACATGTACAGACCTGTTTGGTCACACTACACACAGCAACCTACATTCGGTTTGTCGATTAAAATGAACGTAATCGATGAAATTCTTAATGATCAATTATCGATTAATCGACTAATCATGCCCATCCCTCGTTCTAACAACACATAAAAACAGATTTTATAATAAGGCAACTCGCGTACAGAAACAGTAAAGTTAGAGATTAAAAATAAGATTAACGCGATTTAAAAAACATAACGCGCTAAATATGACTGTAATTAATTCATCGCAATTAACGTGATAATTTGACACCCCCTAATACTGACATTATCGTGAGCTACAATAGCGTTAGTTGCAGCAATAGCAAAATATTTACTTAGTTTCTGGTGTACGAATTTGCCTTAATATTGTAATTATTGTGACAGGTGCCGGCTTAAACATGGCGTCCAGCAGCAGTTTGCCCTGTGAGGATCAGCTCTCGTGCTCCATCTGCCTGGAGGTGTTTAAAGAGCCCGTCACGACTCCCTGTGGACACAACTATTGTAAGAGCTGCATCACGGGCTACTGGGACAGCACCCAAGCGGCCCAGAAACGCTGTCCTCTGTGCAAGAAGAGGTTCAGACAGAGACCCGCCCTCAGGTAAAACATGGGACCACACACTGGAACTTTGGGGGACAATTAAAAATGCGTTGTTTAACTTTTCTGGTGGAGAGCTCATCAAAAAACTTTCCTCGATGGAGATGTTATTGCTCTGTTTGGAATGTTTCACAGGATGGCATTAAACCTTTCTGTCTTCATGGAGACCAAACCAGACCAAATTACAAGCCAGATCTGTGGAGAGACAACCCCGCTCACAGTTGGTGACCAGTCCTGAAAAATTTGGGACAGTCCCGAAATCTAAGCTGTTATCCCGAATCCTGCCCTAAATGTCCCGAAAATTACACTCAGACAGAATACTGAGTAGTTATTTTCCAATAAACATTAAAAACGGTTTGTAGAGAGACTGATTCAAGTGCACACAGCTCCTGACTGCTGCTGATAGGCTCCACATAGCCCTATTTTGACGTTCTACAAGTGGGTCCGGTCAAGTGGTAACGGAGGGAAATGGGGGCAGATTTTTTACATTCAAATGTCTCTTATTCAGAAACTAGAGGGACTATTGAAATAAGTAAAGTATCAGAATGTAGGAAAGAGTTACACTCCAACAGGGTCAAGTTAAACCTGTGATATTCTTTCAAGTTGTTGACAAAAAATTTAAAAAACTCATGTCGGTAACGGAGGGAATGAAATATGCAGCACTTTTTGGGCAGTAAATCCAAACAGTGATAACTCTTGGTTCTCACTTACATATCCTTAACAAACTGGTTTGAATATTTGCTTCATATAGTTTTCTACCATATGGTACAAGATTAGGTTGAAAAACCTCTTACTTTTTGAGTTATGAGATTTTTTATTAAGAAAGGTCATGGTAACGGAGGGAAAAGTAACGGAGAGAAAATTGTGCAAACAAGTAGAAGGTGCATGGATTTTACATAATTTGTTGCTTTTTTCTTCCAAATACTTTAATATTACTTCAAAATGAAAGGAAACTATTTCTATAAAATATGTCAGTCCTTCCAAGCAAATTTTTATCATTTTAAATAATTTTTTTTTGAAAAATCATGTACCTTCATCAACAGTTCAAAGATGGAATAACACAAGATATGATGAAATACATCCATTTATTTACATGATTTGCAGGTCTTTGTTTCATACATGGTCTGTTTAAAACGTATGTAACTTTAGAACCAAAAATTGCACAGAAAAAAGGTAAACAGTATACGGTATACATTTTTATATCAGATGCATTAACTTGAAGTTTTGGCCTTGCTGTTTACTTCTGCTTGACCGGGCCCAATTAGAAACAAAATATGCACTAACAATAAGCTAATTTTCATTTATTGGACATGGCTGGTGAACCCCAACACACCTCTAAAAAGCAAAAGCGTCAGTGCAGGTAGTGGGAGGAGTGGGCGGGGAAGTACACGTGGATTGCCAAAGCCCTAAGCGATGAAATGAAAACATTCTTCGTTTGTGTGTTGTGTTTCTCACCGGAGGGGAGCAGATGTTAGACTACACGTTAACAGCAAATTACACTGTACCAATGATTCATGATTTTTATCTTCTGGATTTTATTTGTTCAAGTTCATGATTTTTTATGTTGTATGTGTATCCCTGTTTTTCTAGGTATTTTTGAGTTATAAAACAACCTGTAATTGAATAAATGTGAGGTAGATCTGGTTAATGTGATACTGTGGAACATTCCAGGAGGAATCATATAGTATCCATAGAAACAAGTATACAGACCCCCACCCAAAAAAGTTTCATAGTGCACCTTTAAACAGCTATAGAGGCTTTGCACCGTCACGTGATCCCTATAGCAACGGTACCTACGCTGCCATGACACCAGGCACACTGTGTCACTGACTTCAGCAGCATCGGAGAAACATGGGCAGGTTTTGTTGTGTATTTGGTTGTTCTAGACGCTCTGAAAGGGATAAAACGATTCGTTTCTTCACTGTTCCTCTGGAAATTACTCATCAGGAGCTCAAACAAGGGAATTATCGGGAAAAAAAAAACTGGAATTATGGTTAGAGAACATAAACCGCAAAGAGATTTCCTATGGTACCATCAAGACACACTCACGTCACTTTCATCAAGGTATTTGCTATTTAAATTGTTTCATAGATTATTTAATGAGAGAAGCACATTTACTGAATTAAAATTTAAAAAGAAAACATTTGCAGTGTGAGTGGCAGTAGAAACTGTATCTTCCAACGCACATATAAACATGTCACTCGTCGCAGGACCCATGTTTTCTTTATTGTCTTGCTTATCCACAACTGTGTCTTCTAGAATTAATCTCTTTTTGCGAGCGGATCTTTCCAACGTTCACGAGGATCTTTTCATGACCGATTCTTTCAGACTCAACAACTCACAGACTCTTCGACTCAAGCTCCATGTTGATCATAAGAGCCCAGTGTGGGTTCTTGAATTGTAAAGTAGTGTGGGTTTTCCTGGATAAATTAATGACATTTTTGTTCAGTAAATGTGCTTCTTTCATTAAATAAGATATGAAACAATTTAAATAGCAAATACCTTGATGAAACTTCGGGCGTCTTGATGGTACAATAGGAAATCTCTTCGTGGTTTATGTTTGCTAGCTATAATCCGCGTCTTTTTTCGATAATTCCCTTGTTTGAGCTCCTGATGAGTAATTTCCAGAGGAACAGTGAAGAAACAATTCATTTTATCCCTTTCAGAGCGTCTAGAACAACCAAATACACAACAAAACCTGCCCATGTTTCTCCGATGCTGCTGAAGTCAATGACATAGTGTGCCCGGTGTCATGGCGGCGTAGGTACCGTTGTTATAGGGGTCACGTGACGGTGCAAAGCCTCTATAATAGAACTGTACTTTGATATAAGTTAAAACAACAGTGAAAAGAATCTATACTTTTATTCTTTATACTCTGGTGGTATTAAGACTTCTTCTTATTGTTGTTGTCAATTGTCCCATAGATGCAACACGAGCTTCAGAGACATCCTGGATCAGCTGCGGAGCATGGCTCTGCTCAGCCCCACAGAGGAGCAGCTGCCTGGGCCTGGAGACGTGCCCTGTGACATCTGCCTGGAGCCAAAACACAAAGCACTCAAGACCTGTGTGGTGGGTGCTGTCAAACAGACAATTATAAACGGTGAAGCTGATTATGAGCTTGATTCAGTTACAGGTGGTTTTACAGCTCAAAAACACCTAGAAAAACAGGCATTCTGACTGAGCAGGCTTGCCTCTCCACAGACCTGACCTGTGCAAGTCTATGAGTGCGTTTACATGCACATCAGTATCCTGGTTATTAGTCATATCCCGGTTATTGCAGTATTCGGGATACTGCATATACATGTGTACTGAGAAATACTCATATCCCTGTGTACATGATCAAATGTAGTATCACGGTTTCTTGATATAATCTTACAAATGTGAAAGGCAAAATTATACTTTTAATAAAAAAGCACTAGTAGTAGTAGTAGTGGGAAGAGCAGGAGTAGGAGTAGTTAAAAAAGGAAAAATACAAACAATCATGAGCTCCTTTAGCATCGGAAACTCAGGAGGTTCTAACCAGCAGTAAGGAGCTATGATCCACTACGCAGGTAGCAGTAGCAGTAGCAGTAGCAGTAGCAGTAGTAGTAGTAAAGGAAAAATACAAAGCATTGGGAGCTCAGGAGGTTCTAACCAGCAGTAAGAAGCTATGATCCACTACACAGATCAAACCCAACGTTTCCAAACACACTGCAACAGATTCTTAATTAAAATCTTCTGCATAAATAAACTCAACTTTAGAACATATAAACCATAAACACTATAGAGCCACATCAGCTCAGTTTGATAATATAATGCAGCTTTGCACACATTTGTTTACATTTTACAGAAACAAAACTTAAAGCCTCATGGCTCATTTGCATAAACCGTAAGTGCTGAAAAAAAAACCTGCTTGCTCCTTGTGCGCTGACATGGTCAGCCTCTGTCGGACTAAAGGACACGACTCAGTGGAATATGAGTGTTCTTTCTGTGACAGAGGATGTGCTGCTGATGGTGAGTCTGTTCTGTGTGTATATCGCGTTGGAGATGGTTCATGTTTAACTTTTCAGAGATCATATGTGTGCAGGTCATATGTGTGCAGCTCTTTATTTTAACAGTAATTTCGCTCATGTGTGGTCACTTTATTTATGTCGCTACTGTTGTGATGAAAAGACTGAAATGTGTTTGTCTTTTGGACGCATGCGCACTTAACTTTATGTTGCAGTAACCGGGATACTGCATTTACATGCCACAGTATCCCAGTTACTATCGGAATATACCAGCTACAGTATCCCAGTTTCTCATAACCGGGATACTGCCTCATTTGGGATACTGAAACCGAGATACTCAAAAAACCTGATCATAACTGGGATACTGATGTGCATGTAAATGCTTGAAGTTTGTTGTGGTCATGTCCTCTAGTGTTGCTATTTTTACTATACTTCACTTCACTCTCAGTTGACTCTGTGTTTTTCCAGGTGTGTGCAGCCTCCTATTGCCACCTGCACCTGGAGCCTCACCAGCGCGTGCCCAGTCTGAAGAAGCACCAGCTGACCGACCCTGTGCCCGATCTGGACCACAGAGTCTGCAGGAAGCACGGCACGGTTCTCGAGCTCTTCTGTACCGTAGACCAAACCTGTGTGTGTGACATGTGCCTGCAAGAAGACCACGCATCCCATCAGTGCATCCCCCTGGAGCGAGCGCACGAAGAGGAAAGGGAGTCGGTCCGGTGTGAAATAGCGAGATTAACCACGAAAGAAACCGCCAGAACTAGAGACGTCAGTCAAATCCAATCGCACGTTGAACAGAGTAAGAAGAAGAAAGAGATTGAGATTGCAGATGTAGAGAAAGCTTTTACCGCACTGGTGGATTTGATTAACAGAGACAAAGGGAGGTTAGTCCAGGTGATCGAACAGAAATATAAAGACGTGTTGACGGAGCCTGAAGAGAGAATTAGTCAGCTGGAGAAGGGGATAGAGAAGATCCAGCAGAGAAGAGCAGAGTTGGAGGAGGTGGTTGAAATAGAGGACCATCTTGAGTTTCTTCAGCGTAAACCAGAACTGGCATCGACTCCAGACCAGGAAGATCTACTTACACAGGTGGGTACAGAACATGGCGTAATGTTGTGCGTGCGCTAATGGGATTTGTCACTTTAAAGGGCCTAGGTTATGCCATTTTCTGATCTATGTTATAATATTGTTCCTCATCACAAACCTGAAGTTGTGTTTTGTTTCATTCACACAAATTCTGCATATTTAGGCTGAGCTCTTCTCTCAAACTGAAAACAATAATTCAAGAAGTGCTCCACTGTGTTTTAAAAACTTCATACACCTTCACTAGAATGATTTGAATACTTCAGCTGGGGCTGGGTGAAAAATGCGGAAAAATGGATTACGATTTTTATTTATTTTTTCTGAACTGTGACAATGCAGAAGACGTCAGCACGTTCATCCGAGTCACATGCGGTAAAATAAACAAACAAAGAGCAATTGCAGCTATCACGTATGAAATCTACAGAAACTATTACGTACCATTCGTCTTGCATGTATCCGTGTTCGCCTGATAAGGTTACATCTATGGATTGGCTGTTGCTGCCGCCTTCTCCACAGCAGATCGATGATGTAGCAGAACTTGGCATAAATAATGACTTGTACAAAATGCAAATAAAGACTTTTAAAAAGTACAAATGCTCGCTGGTGTCGATGATGCGATCCATGATTGTTACTCCATCCATTTTCCTATGGCCTTGGCCTTTTAGTTGGTGGTAAATCCACACCCTGTCGATGAAGCGTCATGGGTTCACGCAGATGGTATGAATAAATGGTATGGGTGGTTCACAGGTGAGCACTTTGAGTCCCAGTGGAACTGGTGTGGGAACCAGAACCGGCACTGTTCTGACCGGCCTGAAAACAGCTAGAGAGGGAGAGGGAGAGAGAGACCTGACTTTTAGTCAAATTGTGCAGATTTAAGTTGTGAAACGTGAGGAAACAAACTTGTGAAACATGTATGTGAACATATCTGTACTATGAACCAATCCCTGAAAACGCACTTCAAATCTGGGCCCCACCAAAAGACCAAAGAGAAGTGCTGTGGCTCAGGCTGCTTTTTCCTAAAAAAGAGCATAAATCCTCATCAGAACCACGAGTTTTTACTGCCACATAATTGGCTGTGGCCCTGTCGATTAAAATGCACTCTCCTTATCATTGAGATCGACCTAAGCTGAGATTGTGATCTGTAAATCTTTCAATTTTTGGCACAGCTCTAATTTCAGCCCTGGAATTGCAAATCTCTACAGAGCAAAAAGTAAAAGGAGCTGTTCACTTGAAAACTACCACTTCATGACATCACAGTATTTTGAGCTTTGGCGATGTAGACAGACTAACAATAAAGGGTTACTGTGTGTGAACATGTATGAAACAAAACACAACTGTGTATGTGACGTGGTATTAACATTATAACACGACTAAAAGCTCACGTTAATCAATTTGACGTAATATTGGACCTTTAATGCCACACTTAAACAAACTAAAACAACATGTCTGTGGAGGCAACTATGACCTTCACCAGAAATGTTACATAATGCACCTTTAACTAACCTCTCTGTCTTTTGTTTTTCTGTCACTTAGTACGATCTCGACGATGAGGAGACTTCCGGTGTCGTTGTGAAATCTGCAGTGGATCAAATGAAACATATTCTGAGTAAGGAAATGGAAAAACTTATTCAAAAAGTCCAATATCCGTACAATGAACCAATCCCTGAGAACGCACTTCAAATCTGGGCCCCACCAAAAGACCAGTTAATGGCGATACAGCAAAACCACGCTGTGAATGTAACGCTAGACCCCGACTCAGCTGCTTCTTACCTGTCCATTTATAACAAAGGTAAATCTCTTATGCTCAATCCATTCTCGGAGAACAAGCCTCGAACCTGGTTTTACTCGAGATGTTTCGAAAATTACCCTTTTGTCGTCAGCACAGAGGGTTTTTCCTGCCGATTTTATTTTGAAGTGAAAGTGAGTGATGCTGTAGAATGGGCCGTTGGGGTGGTTCGAGAAGATTTTAGTAGATATAAAACTTTTAACTGGTTGCCAGGTCCCAACGAGGGAGCTTGGATTTTGTATTCGCTTAACAAAGGTGGTGGACTCGATTGTTTTGACTCTCACAACACCAACCCCAAAAAAATCGGCGTTTTTGTTGATTACGAGAAAGAAGAGGTTTCGTTTTATGATGTGGACAGAAGGGTTCTCCTGACGTCCATCACTGAGTACCACTTGAACGAGCCTGTGTCATTCCTAAAGTCTGCCGTCTATGGTTTGGTGGGTGCAACTACAAGCAACAGAGCAAAATTTTACCCCGTTATTGGAGTTTATAAAATGTTTGATAGTCTTGAATTAACGCCAGTAATCACCTACTGACTTTTTTTTTTTTTTATGAAGTAAATGTTCAAAAATAAATACATGACTTTAAGACGCTGAAACATTGACTGTACTGTATTTTCCGGGCTATTAGACGCACTCTTAAGCCTCCAACCCCATCAAAAAATGACCGCGTGCCCACAATCCAGAGCGGCCCTGTACACGAATCCACTCGGGTGTCCCAGCACGACTTCAGTAAACTACAAATCTGCACCACCCGCAGAACACGCAAACACACACGGAGCAGACAGCGACCGCGCGGCGAAAAACACCCACAGACACACTCATCACTCCACGCCGACGAGGAACGGAACGGAGGAACGAACCGAAAAAGCGAGCGCAATGTGCCGCTTCTAGACACGACTGAACAACTGAGTCACTGCGAACACGCCGACAATCCAGCGATCCCAGACAGCACCTCCCTACACGCCACAATACAAGCATCAAGAATCTCGGACTCCACATACAAAATGTTTTCTGCAAACTCGGGATGATTTAGGCCAGGGGTGTCAAACATACGGCCCGGGGGCTGGATTCGGCCCTCTAAGACCTTTAATCTGGCCCTCGGCTGATTTTCTACTAAAATATTTTAAGTATATTTTCTATTAAAATATTAGTAATTTTCTGTGGTGTTTATCACAGCAGCGTCTCCAGCGTCTCTGTACGTGGCCCCTCCCACCAGAGCAGCACAAATGAAGACTTGTCTCTTTCCAAACGCTCTTAAAGGACGATCGTTTTGACTGTTGACCGTGACACCCTCATCAGAAAAATGTCAAAAATGAGAAAAGTGGAGCCGAGTGCAGGATTTTCCAAGAAAAATTTACTTATTCCTATTTACATACAAGTTAATGTTAAAATATTGTGTTGAAATTGCATTTTTCTTAAAGTTTCAAGTTGTTCATAATATTATAATATTTTGTAAAAGAAAGAGTTCATCAATTTAAAAAAGATTTCTGTAATAGATTTGCGTTTCTCTGCACAAATATTTGAACTTATTGGTATTTTGGGGTTTATATGTCATGAGTTTTCTGATCTGGCCCCTTGGGGATCAAAGTCTGGATACGGCCCCTGGACCAAAATGAGTTTGACACCCCTGATTTAGGCAGTCAAAGGTTTACTTTTTCGTCCTTCCCGTGGATCAATCCTGCCCATCGCCTTCGCCTTTCACTATTTCTGTTGGGAAGGGAAACAGTTTGAACGGGAGGTTTGCAGTCACACACATCTGATTCCCTTTTGTACTTATGGAGTTCGCAAACAAATTTCTTGAGCCATTTTCCGCTGTTAGGATCCAACAACCACACAATTAACGATGTCCGAATCCCAAAACTAAAATCTAAAATATGACAATATCAGAGCCAGAAACAAAAGCGATGTGGTTCAAAAGACTTGAAAAGATCGACTTTGTCAATAGACACATCCCACTGGGAAAACAAATATGGAGGTTTGATGCTCACTTTTTCAGAAAATCCTTCCCAGTATGTATGACCGGAAGTCAGAGATTCTTGATGCGTGTATTGAACGAAGCCGAGAGTCACCATGAATGTGCCAAACAAAGTCCCACTGACCCACTGAACTGTTGTTTCGTTTATTTGTGAAAAAAGTTTGAAAATAGACCATTTAATGACAGTGTGTCTTATAATCCAGAGCGACTAATAGCCCAGAAAATACAGTATAGAAATGAACAAGCCGCCGTGTTCCAAATTAGCCAGGGGGGAATTCATGAAAAAGTTCTTCTGGAACTTCTGGAAAAGTTTTTGATTTTTGGCAGGGCGTTAGGTTTGGGCCTAAGGTTTTTTAAAAATCCATGGATACAAGTTGGGGCGCCCCCTAGTGGCCGGTGTACATGAAATCTGAAACAACCCCTGCCAAAACAAGAAAAGGTTATATCTCCGTTTCCTTTAGTCTTAAGTTGTTGTATAAAGCAGTTTTTCTACTTTGTTTGATACAAGGAATTAAATTCTGATACATTCTTCTTATTTTTAGTCAATTTTTATGTTAAATCTGTTATCATCATCATATTTAACTAAAATAAAGTTTTGACTACTTGGTCTTCATCAGGGCGCCCTTTTAATAAATTCACCGCAAATCAGAGTGCCTCTGCTATCATTTTTTATTTTACAAGATGGATCTGCGGGCTCCGACCTCAACCTCAACCTCGGCTGCTGTGAGCTCCGAGCCTCGGCTCCGAGCTCCGGCCCCGAGGCGTCCAAATAGAAGCGTCCAGTGTGGTTTTTGACGCTGTGATTTTGCTCATATTTGCTATCACAGGGTATTCGCGAAGACCCGGAAGATGTCGTGATATGATCCCGCCCATAACTAATGAAATATGATTGGCTCAGACAACTGTCAATCTCAAACTCATTCCCATGTTGACTTGAATCGCACAGGCCTTCGTTGCAGCCACAAAAGGCCGTGCAGGTGTTTCTTTAGTTCAAATCCTACCGGGTAGAGTCACTGATTTACCCAGATACCACTGAAAGAAAAACTGTGATTGGTCCATTTCCATTTCATTATATTAACCCTTTGTTTCCCAAGAAATTTCAATCAGTTTATAGAAATTATTACTAGTGTAGTGCTTATTCCTCACAGAATAAAACATAGAAAAAAATATATTAGTAGTACAAAAATGCATTCAATATTTTTTCTTGCCCCTCTCTTTGGAGCTGCTTCGGTCAGGCTCCTCAGTTTGGTCTTAAAATGTTCGTATTAACCCGCTCTTCATGATCCTGGTGTTTTTATTTCACTATTTTGCCCGAAAATCAGTTCCTATTCCTAATATGAAACCTGGCTCCAGATTCGCTCCTATAACTGCAAGTCCTCGGTGAGCTTCATTTGACTGGACCTGAACGCTGTAGGCGACGTCACGCTCTTTTAATCCACTTCTTTATACCGTCTATGCACTTACCTTATGCATTCTTAGTGTTATAATTCCTCAGCACTATCTATAAGTTTATAAGTGTGTTTTCATGACAGAGACCAGTGCAGGAGTTTTTCGATTACAGGAAACGCAAATTTCCTAATAAATGGACATTAAAGTGCTTTATACTATGCAGACAGGACACAGCGTGCTCATTTTGACCTCAAGTACTTTAGTAAATCTGTACTGCACCAAGGTCAATACACTTTGCACTATGGGAGTTGGTTTTTTTGCACTGTTTGTAAAGGCTTCGTACGGGTGAGATATTTTGTGGTTTGTAAAAGTTCAAGTATTTATGAGGAACTTTTTTTCACTTTTAAAGGTACTCTGTGTAAGTGTTGACATTGATGACGTTGCTCTCTGCTTGAAATGTTCCACAATATGGGTTTAAACTTGCATTTATTCAGTTAAACGTGTGTATTTTTAGGCAAAGCAGTCTATGAAAGCGTAAAGTAGGTGGACTGTTCTCCAGAAATGTTTTATTCTCTAAGTCAGACATGTCAAACTCAGGCCCAGGGGTCAAATGTGGCCTGTGATATAATTATATTTGGCCCGCGAGATCATATCAAATTTATATTAGAGCTGACCCGCCGGCTACAGATAGGCTATAACAGGGATCTTCAACCTTTTTCCTCAGGTGAGCGGTCGCAGGAAGTAAAGTGTATGCAAGATCCATGGCAAGATTTAGATGGGGTACAGTTAAATAAAACATAAAACATTATTTATTCACAGTGTCAGGAGTAAAGCCTTATAAAAGTAATTCATTATTGTAATGTGTTGCTTTTAGCTGTAACGCAGTAATGTGGCATTACAGGGAAAAAAGTGGTAATATTTTACTCGGTACAAATGTCATTAACACGCGTCAAAATGCTTTTTTAACCTGGATTGAAGTGGTGGGTTTTTCGTTTTTCTTTGCTAAAATCACCGCGTCATCAGCAGCGGTGAAACGCCGGAGGTGCGCCCGCGTAGACCGAGATCGTGAGCGAAAGAACCGAGGCAGAACTCTGTGCTCCACGGGGCGAATCGCAGCTGACGCCCGATCACGCTCGGGTTCTCTCAGGGGCGGTCCTAGATTCCAAGAGTCCAAGATTAGTCCTGGTTTGGTCCTGGTTTAGTTCTCTTTTAGACCTGGTTTAGTCCTGGTTCAGTTCTGGTTTAGTCCTGGATTAGACCTGGTTTAGTCCTGGTTCAGTTCTGGTTTAGTCCTGGATTAGACCTGGTTAGTCCTGGTTTAGTCCTGGTTCAGTCCTGGTTTAGACCTGGTTTAGTCCTGGTTTAGACCTGGTTTAGTCCAGGTTCAGTTCTGGTTTAGTCCTGGTTCAGTTCTGGTTTAGTCCTGGATTAGACCTGGTTTAGTTCTGGTTTAGTTCTAGTTAAATTCTGGTTTAGACCTGGTTTAGTCCTGGTTTAGTCCTGGTTCACTTCTGGTTTAGATCTGGTTTAGAGGTTTAGATCTGGTTTAGTCCTGGTTTAGTCCTGGTTCAGTCCTGATTTAGTCCTGGTTCAGTCCTGGTTTAGACCTGGTTTAGTCCAGGTTTAGTCCAGGTTTAGTCCTGGTTTAGTCCTGGTTCAGTTCTGGTTTAGTCCTGGATTAGACCTGGTTTAGTTCTGGTTTAGTTCTAGTTCAATTCTGGATTAGACCTGGTTTAGTCCTGGTTTAGTCCTGGTTCACTTCTGGTTTAGATCTGGTTTAGTCCTGGTTTAGTCCTGGTTCAGTCCTGGTTTAGTCCTGGTTTAGATCTGGTTCAGTCCTGGTTTAGTCCTGGTTCAGTCCAGTCCTGGTTTAGTCCTGGTTCAGTCCTGGTTTAGTCCTGGTTCAGTCCATATACGGCGCAAAAGTTCAGCATCTTTACAGTTATTTTGTTGAGAGTGTCTTAAATGTGCTGCAATAGTAAAGTAACGCCTTATATTTTAAACACAGTAATATTGTAATATAACAAATGACTTTGAAATGACAGTAACAAGTCATAAATAAATAACACATCACAGTTTTACAGTAACTTGCCCAACAGTGTTTATTCACGACTGCACAAAGTCAGGCATCATTATTCAGCACATTCCCTTGGCGAGCGACATGAAAGGTTGTGGAGAGACACTGGTCGCTCCTGAGCTACAGGTTGGAGACCCCTGGGCTATAGAGACATTATTTATTTAAAATGTTGTTATTATTTTATATTCTGCTTGTTCTGGATTCAATGCTTAAGCAAAACTATTATTAAACTTAAAATATTTAACATTACATATCTCGAAAGAAGAGAAAACGTGCAGATGTTGTTGAATTTTTTCAGTAAATATTTAGTTTGGCCCACGACTTCGTCCCAATTTTTAATTTTGGCCTCTGTGAATTTGAGTTTGACACCCCTGCTCGAAATACTCTTTTAAAACTTAGCTGATGTTTTTGGAACAATTTTATAGTTCTGCCACAAGATGGTGCTATGCTACAATAAAAACCAATACGGACTAGAAGCGTTCAACAGATTCAATTTCATACTGGGCCTCACAGCTGAATCATGTGTAAATGCGTCTAATTTCTGTCCATTTTCAGTGATTTGTGGCTTTATCTAATGTAAATCTGTTAAATCAGTATTATGACAAACCTTTCTTTTTGTAGACCATCCTGTTGTCATGTGTTTTTAATCAATAAAGTTTGGAGAAATTAAAAGTATTAGTTGTTTTGTGGTCTATTCACTGATGCTTGTTTATCCCAGAGGACTTCTTTAGCCTGTGGACTATTTTTACCTCAGCTGTGACCGGACCGGCGCCGGGATCTGGGGCAGCGCAGTGTGTCAGTGGGCCGCGGGGCTGTTTTATTCTTATTACGCTCACGTGAACTATTGCAAATGTAAAAAAAAATCTTCATATTTAAAGTCAGTGATTTAATTCAAGGACAGAATGTGCAGCCAGATTTCCAGAAACAAACGCCTGTGTTGACATATATGGATTATCGAGAACGCGCCCAGGGATGGAAGAAGGACGTGTCGGGAGCGCGCGCGGCCGTACTGACGTCACGGGAGCGCCCGAGCAGCGCGGGGAAGCCTCCAGTGGAGAGAGAGACCAGAGACTGAGGCGTACTGAAGACGGAAAAGAGGGACAGGACGAGCGGACAGCGGAGGGACAGGGCCACACTCCAGGTACGCGCACCGACAGCGGCCGTGTCTTGTGTCCCGCGGGCCGTGCGCCGTGGAGCGGGCTGGCGCGGTGCTGTCAGCGCAGAATAACGCGGGGACTGGCCTTTTACGCGGAGCTTTCACTACCCCGGGCACGGACGGTGCTCCAGGACCGCCGCAGTGAGTAGTGAAGTTTACGGCGGTTGCGTGCGCTCTGCGTGCGTCCGTGCGCGCACATGCATGTTCCATGACACGGCGCGAGGCTGCGGGCTCGTGTGTTTGTGTTAGGGCTGGAATAGCACGTGCACAGTACACGCCTGTCACTGCTACGTTAGCATCATGTCTTTTATACAGTGTGTGGTTAGCACTGGTACAGTATGTTGGTGCTGGAGACTTGTGCTCCGGCTCGACTCTGTGTCAGTGTGTCTTTTCTCCAGGAGACAACTGTCAGTACGAGGCTTTTTTATTTCACCACATCACTGACCGAGCCGGTTTGTACCAATATAACATTACATCTGCTTTATAACAATATGACAATAACTCTATGCATCCAACACTCACATGATTGTCTTTTCAGATTTAGCGACAGAGATCCTGCTAATGGACTATTACAAAGCCTTAATACCACACAAATAAAACACATACACAGGCTGTTGTTATTGTTACAGGCTATTTTCCTACACAAACGTTGCTGTTCCACTATTGAAACTTTCAGGAGCTGAGCTGAGGTGACCTGCTCCTCTCTAAAGCTTCTGCACTCAATGACACTCTGGACTTCACCTGTACATCAGTCTCTCTATTTCCTAATATTTTATTTGTCAAATGTAACTGCATCATGTTGGATTAAACACAAGAGCTGACACGTTTGTTAGACTGTATAATGTCACAGTTTATCATTTTTAGTAGGCCTAGTATGACTATAGAATAAAGGTGTAACGATGTCCAAGTCTCACGATACGATATGAACCTCACAGTACGATATTTATTGCGATATCGTGGGAAAGCTCACGATTAGGGACATGATCCAAATCTCTCTGTACGATATTTACACGATATACATCTCACGGTAAGACTGGGTATCATTCAGAAGTTGCCGATATGATACGTAGGCCACGATACGATACACATCTCGATACAGTGAGCTTTCAATTCTATACGATTCAATACGGTATATTTCAAATCGATTCGATACTGTTCAAGAAAAAATAATGGCTAAATCATGGGCGTGATACTAAAAGTCTTTGTTAAACCACTTCTTGTGCAAAGTGAATATTAAACACAAACTTTTATCATCAAATTTTAATCATTAAAACGGTGAAAATGTCAAATGTGTTGCATAAAAGAGTTTCCTTCCACTAAACAAACAACAAAACTGTAGCTGTAACAAAATAATTTAGTAAAATACGCCAAAACACACTCTTGGCAATATAACGACACAGCAGGCCATGATATCGATACTGTATCATCACATTACACGATACGATATATCGATATTTCAATATTTTTGCACACCCCTATCTCACGGTACTGTTAATATACGACTTTTTTGTCTTAAAATCCCTCGATTTAAGATTTAATCCAAATTAACTAAGACTTAAAAGTGCTTAGAACTGTTATTTCTTCTTGTAGTCTGCACTGAAGTCTGTCTTTTTTTGCACCATAACTCTTAATTTAAGCAAAGAGACTTGTAATTTTAAAACTTTGACGATACGATATCACGATATTTCCGTTATTGTTACGTCTCTACGATAGAAACATGATCAATATTAAAGGGGCCAGTGTTTTCTGATCTATGTTATAATGTTGTTTCCTGACCAAAAATATACTTAGAGTTGCGTTTTGTTTTATTCACAATACAGAAAGTGATCCTGCTAATGGACGATTACAAAACTTTAATATGGCTGTACCACACAATTAAAATACAAACACAGGCTTATTATTATTATTATTTTCTTTTACAAATGTTGCTGTTCCATATTGAAACTTTCAGGAGCTGAGCTGTTCACAGTACGATATTTATTGCGATATCGTAAGAAAGCTTGCGATTAGGGATGTAACAATATCCAAATCTCTCTGTACGATATTTTCACGATATACATCTCACGATACTTACGATATTTATTGCGATATTTTGTGGAGGCTAAAACTGTGAAAATGCGACTTTTTTCTCTTAAAATGTCTTGATTTAAGATTTAATCCAAAGAACTAAGACTTAAAAGTGCTTAAAACTGATTTCTTCTTGTCGTCTGCGCTGAAATGGAGCAAAGGATCATGGTCTATGTAGTTCCCTCTGTCTTTTTTTGCACCGTAACTCCTAATTTAAGCAAAGAGGCTTGTAATTCGATATATTGTGTTGGTCCACGATACTGTGACGATACGATATCACGATATTTCCGTTATTGTTACGTCTCTACGATAGAAACATGTTCAATGTTAAAGGGGCCAGTGTTTTCTGATCTATGTTATAATGTTGTTTACTCGCCAAAAATATACTCAGATTTACGTTTTGTTCCATTCACAATACAGGAAGTGCTCCACTATGTTTTTAAACTCCATACACTGTCACTAGAATCATTTAGGTAATGCCCAAGACTGAAATGATCCATCTCTAGTGAACAATTTTGAGCATTTTGAGCTTTAGAGATGAAATAATAAAGAGTTACTCAAACACGTGTGAATAAAACAAAACTCCAGGTCTGTTTTTGAGGAGGTAACAACATTATAACACGGTTTTAACCTCACAAGAGTAAATTTGGCGTAATATAAGCCCTTTAACACTGCAGGGTTCTCTTTTACTAAACAGTGATCGTGTGAATTTCTCTCCTGCAGTGACCTAAACTAACCTGAGTCCAGCACAGGAAAGACCCAACGCTACTACGCCCTGTTGTATCTTCTCCGCCCAACGGCTTTATCGATTGTCTCGTATTGGCACCGCGCTCGAACTGATGTCATTGCGCCTCTTTGAAGCAAAAAGCTGACTCCTTTTGAGCTTTAAGCCGTGTTAGAATGTTGTTACCTCATCGAAAACAGACCTGGAGTTGCGTTTTGTTTTCGTTCACACATTTTTGAGTCGTCATCTCCAAACCTCAAAATGCTCTGCTCCACCTCCTGATCTTCTATATTCTTCTATCTTTAGTTAAGTGAAAAATGGCAATTCAAGGTCTGAAATAATCCAAATGATTCTAGTGAAGGTGTCTGGAGTTTGAAAACGCACTGAAAATGCACTTCCTGTATTACCGCATGACATCACAAGGTGCAACAGATTTTTTATTTTTTTTTCCATTTGAGAAAACTCAGCCTAATATGCAGGTTTGAGTGTGAAACGTGTGAATGAAACAAAACACAACTCCAGTATGTTTGTGATGTAGAAACAACATTATAACATAGATCAGAAAATAGTGTAATATGGGTCCTTTAAAATAGTTTTGTTACGATACTGAGAACTACGTTTTGATACCAAGGAATAGACTAGATACTCAATACCGATTCTGATACCATGATTAAAAAACAAACAAAAAAACACACTGTAACTTTTCTGGTGGAGGATTTATGAAATGTTTTTCTCCATCGAGATTTTTTTGCTTTGTGCCAGCGCTAATGCAGCACTAAGGAACCTACCTGGACCACTGAAGCTGTTTTCAGGCCGGTCAGAACGGTGCCAGTTCCCGCACCAGTTCCACTGGGAACTGAAGTGCTCACCGGTGAATGAAGCGCGTTCATACTGTTTACATGAACCCATGACACGTCGTCGACAGAGGGTGTGGATTTACCACCAAATAAAAACAAGGGAAATAACAATCATGGATCACATCATCAACACCAGCGAGCGTTTGTACTTATACAAGTCATTCTTTATGTGCACCAAGCTCTGCTACAACATCGATCTGCTGTGGAGAAGGCGGCAGCGACGCCGAATACAAAGATGTAATCTTATCAGGCGAACACGGACACATGCAAAACACACGGTACATAATAGTTCTTGTAGACTTAAAATTTTTAATTTAATATGTGATAGTTTCAATTGCTCTTTGTTTATTTATTTTACCGCATGTGACCTGGATGAACGTGCTGACGTCTTCTGTGTCGTCATGGTTCGCTTAGAAAAAACAAGTTTACTTGGTTCCCGAACGCTCTGATTTCTGACGTGAACACATGAGTCGGTTCAAGATTAGGTGCGGGAACCAGAACCAGCACGGTTCTCTGTCCTGAAAACACCTTGAGGGACACAGACACAGACACACAGAAGACCACATGGGAATAGAAAAGAAAGTACTGTGATTTTAATGTTGAAAATCACATTCTAAGAGTGTTTTTGAAGTTATCATTGTGGTATCAGAATCGGTATTGAGTATCGAGTCTATTCTTGTTATTGACTTTGTAGTAAGTAAGTAAAGTTTTTTTTATTTATATAGTTCTTTTCACAGACATTTGTCACAAAGGCACATTACAGAGCATTATTCAGTCACTATAGAGACTATTGTACTATTGTTGCCACAGCTGCCCTGGGGCAAACTGACTGAAGCGTGGCTGCCAAGCCAATCTGCTTCATCAGTTCCTCCGACCACCACCATCACTCACGCACACACGCACACATACACACACACGCCCACACACACACACACACGCCCACACGCACACACACTCACGCACACACACACACACACACACACGCACACACGCACACACACACACACACGCACACACACACACACACACACACACACACACTTTCATACTAGGCAGTGTGGGTGAAGTGTCTTTCCCAAGGACACAACAACAGTTTTTGCAACTGGCGCCCCACTGTTTTAGTATCGTTCAAATACAATAAATCATGTGTTTTTAAAAGTTTGGGCGTTTCACGAAAAAAACTCAAAACCAATTTTCTGATCTTTTATAATCACAAACAGACCTGAGATGTGTTTTGTTTCATTCACACATGTTTAACGCACAAACTCTGCAGATTTAGGCTGAGTTCTTCTCATAAACTGAAAACCACTTTGTGACGTCACCTGGTAATACAGAAAGTGCTCCACTGTGTTTTTAAACTCCACGCACCTTCGCTAGAATCATTCGGATAATTTCAGCGCTGGAATTGCCAAAAGATGAAAGGTAGCTCTTAACTTGAAAACTACAAATTCATGACATCACTAGGAGCATTTTGAGACTAATAATAAAGGATT